CCTTCCGGTCCTTCACTGCCTCCCTGAGTTTGCTCAGTTTCATGCTCATATTTCAAGCCCATCTGTCCCCTTAAACAGTTTATAACTTTCCAGAATCAATATTCTAGACACTCTTTTGCTGTTTATTCAAAAATAATTTTTTTTTTTTAGTCCTTAAACTTGCATGAAACTTTTTTCATCAAGGATAGAAGGAAACTCACCCAGTGTAATGAAACTTGCCCTTCTGAAGGTTCTTAACATCCAAAGAGCCATTAACAAGCAATTTCCTAATGTGGTTAAGAAAGGAAGTAGTCCTTTTGAAGGTACCAAACCACGGCTTAGGCGAGATGACTTTCCTGGCTCCCAAAGCTCTAAAACCCATCAGAGACCACTGCCTTATGGTCTCCTTGCAGGGACCCACTGTATGGAGTGTTTGTGGGCAATCCTGGTCCTCTTTTTGCTCTGGAGAGGAATTCTAAGGAGCTGATCCATTTACCAACTCCTCTTTCTGTCGCAGTCGTTGGCTCCACTCTTGTGGAGCTGTCTTCAGTCCGCCATTGGTTCCCCGGCAGTTGGGCATTTTGATGCTTCTCCACTAAAAACTACGGGTAGCTCTTTTTTCAAATCAAATTTTGAAGCAGCTGGAATCAAATAGGTTTGCTCTTGAATCTCAAACCATGAACCCAAATTGAATTATGCCCTCTTCAAATCTCATGTCTCCAATCTGTATAGAAAGCCTGTTGGATATTATTTATTTACAGTCAGAGACCAAAACCATTACAAAGTAAAAATAAATAGAGAATATTAAGGATAAAAAGAAAAAAAATAATCAAAAGGATATGCAGCAATACCTGATCAGATAACAATATAAATTGGAGGTTAATAGTTCCAGCATTAAATCTCCTTTCAGCCACTGCCAATGGACAGAATTTAGTTACCTTCCTGGTTACTTCAGAATAAACTAGCAGAATAGACTAGCAGAAAGTATGCATTTTCCTCATCCACCTAATTCGAGCAGTTAGTTAGCAGGGGCAGAGTGCCAAGACTGAGACAATGTAATAAAAACTTGCAGAGCCAACTCAGTTAATCCCTCTAAACAGGGACAGAGACAATTTTGAAGGAGGATGTTATAATACTTGCCTCCAGAACCATAGACTGCATAGCATCAAGTCTAGCCAATGGGTCTACTGAGTGTGTATGGCACAGTGGGCAAAGATTAAGGTTAAAGGGGGGGAAATGCTGCTAAAACATGGGAGCACCAGGAGAACAAACAACTCATTGAACCATTGAAGGTAGGCTGTCTCTTTAAGGGGGACCATTTGCATCACTGCAGAAAACTAATTCAAGTTAGTCCTGTCCTTCAGAGCAGAAAACATACAGCAGGGCTACACTGTGCTTTCAGTAAACTAATTTAATTTGAAAAGTACTATAAACTGAATCAATTAAAATAAGGAAAAAGGTAGCAAAAGGTTTCTCCATGTGCTCCTTCTCATCTTTGACCATGATGGACCATAGATGTTAGACATCCATCGGGGGAGAGGGGGAAGGGGGCAGAAGTGGAAATGTGTATTGTGATACAAACCATGTGACCCGCATACCTGGATCTGACCTCAGGATGCAAGTACAAAAGGCCAGATTTTGCACTGTGATGTCATGACTCATTTCATCATTCTCATGTCACTGCAACTTGTACAGAATGCCTACGCGAGGATTCTATTTCCATCATCTTAACATCATCGTCTCCAGATTTTTTCTGGTTCTCAGTAAAGGGAAGGGAAGTCAGGCGGTGCTATCCTTTTCTTTGTTGTCGTCGTTTTTTTTTTCTTTTGATGTTTAGGTAAGCCTGTCTGTGTGTTTGGTTTGGTTTGCATATTAAGGACACAGTTTTACCTGCAGCAATGTGGTTTATCATCATCCTAATGATGGTTACAAATGAAGGTTTAGTTTATCTCTGCAGTGATGCTACCATTCCTGACCTTCAAAGCTTTGCTCAGTGCAAAGGCAGGTTAGCTTGTGTTTTTAATATACTCATTTTGATAGACTTGCACTTTCTTCTGACCACCTCTTTGCATGCAAAGAGGTAGCTTTCCAAAGGTCTGAAATCGCACCATCTGAAAGCATCAAAGCCCATAAAGTTGTGGCATGGTTGATATGTTTAATTGAACAAATGTTGTTCAGGGACTTGGGATTTCATTACTCCTTTACTTGACAAAGTACTCCAGTAAAGTGGCTGCAGGATGCTAAGTCAAGCAGTAACAGCTGGAAAGGTGAACTCTGTTATGCAAAGGTGTCTGTGGCTGTGATCAAAAAAGTCAAGATGGCAGCTGTGGCTGTTTGATCAAAGCCCCACTTCTTTTGTATGTGTGTGGTGCATGCTACATATATTAAAAAGGGCTGGGGCTTTGATGGTGCAGCTATGGTGGCTACCTTGACTTTTTTTGATACACACACACACACACACACACTCACAGATACAGATGCCCCTGGTTCTACATTGACCCAAAATCTGGGAAATCTGCTCTTTCTACTCTGCTTGAACAGATTTTCCCTGTTCTGTCACATTTGCCAAGAGATAGCAATAAAAGACATCACTGATACAGGTAGTTCTCATTTAGCGACCACAATTGGGACCAGCAACTCGGTTGTTAAGCAAAGCAGTTGCTAAGTGAAACCACGACTGTGTCTACGGCCTTCCTTCAGCTTTCCTTTGCTTTACAGACCTGTGAAGGTCATAAATGTGAGAATTGGTCATAAAGTTACTTTTTCATCATCATCACAATTGTGAATGGTCACTAAACGAGGCAGTTGCTAAACAAGGACTTTCACAGTGAAAGCTTCATACTAAACTGGCAAGTATTCAGGACAATAATGGAGACTGCGACTTTTCTGAGCCACAGGCACGTTTGGAATTTTGAGACCCCATAGTGAGAGCACTCACAAAATGGCTGCCAGGTTTGCGTAGCCAGTCATAATATATCCCATTTACCCAAAAACCTATAGACTCAACTGGAGCCTGTCTACCAACCCAGGGTTTCTTGGTGATCTTCGTAAGGCCCAAAGGCATTCCTGCAAATAAATATGTTGCTTTAATTTTAATTTTTTATTATTCATTAAGTCAGATGGGCCCAGGAACATGCTAAGCAGCAAATGAACACATTGTTGCCTATAAGAACCAAACTGCCCATTTCTGCCATACTTTATTGTGATTGTTGAATCACATATTTGGCAGGGAGAATTTCAACAGCCATCTCGACCAGACATCAGCAAGCTGATTTGTCTGGACTTGAATTCCCATCCGATCTAGGTACTAAGGCTGGTTGGGAATTGTGGAAGTTATAATTAAAACCTCAAGAGGACATGCAGTTGCCTATCCTGATCTACCTAACAAAGTATAAATAAAGTGGGATCATTTTACTTTTTTTTTTTTTTCATTAGTAGGTCAGTGAATCTTAACAGATTTGAAATAGATAAGCAGAATTGGACTGGTAAGTATTTGGATGAGAGGCCACCAGGAAATCTCATGATTATAAATTAGCTTGGGAAATCAAAAACAAAACAAAAAAATCCCAGATCTATATTGTTCTATACTGTTACCAAAAAAAAAAAGCTATATGGACATATTAAAGAAGTAATCAGGGGTCAAACTCAACTTGAAGGAGAATTTACTTTCTATTCCTTTTTCACTAGATATGGGCTCAGTGTTATAATGTTTTTATGACCTCTTTAAAAAAAAAAAATCCGGATTTATTTTCATGTACTATGTAACCCAACAATACAGAGCCTTTGTACCTAACTTTCACTTAATGCATTGATCTAAATGCACCTTTTAATGGCAATGTCTCTAATGTTATTCTCTGTGATGCAGATTGCCCTCCTATAAGTTTCAGTACATAAACTCCCTTCTAAAATGTATCTACCATGCTTTTTCAATTCAACTTTTAAACCATATATTCTTGTCCAAACAATCTTTCACAAACAAATACGGGCTTTTTTGTGCAAATATTTCACCAGAAATGAATATTTCATTTCGTGGTCCAAATTTTGCAAGCATCATGGCAGCTGAGACCATAGAAGGAATGGGGATGTGGCAAACATATCAGAAAGGACCTTTTCAAGTTTCTTGGGCTGTAAAAGCAAGGGGGTGGGGAGAGAGATGTACTTTCAGACTTATAAGATTCTGTTAATGTAACCTTACAATAAAGGTAGAGCTTGTACTTCTGGGTGTGCTTCTTGTCTGAACTGCCTCGCAAGGGTGACAACTACAGAGAAGTCCGCCAAACTTCAGGGCTTAGAAGGAAAGGCAGAGGGCAATGTTTTCAGATTTGCTTAATCTCTTTTTCAGGAAATGAAGTATGTTTATTATTATATAAAAATGAAGATGGAAAAAGAGAAGATGACTGATCTCTACAAGGATGCAGCTTTTTGGGATTACTGGAAATCAGGATGTTGTACTTGAGTATAAACTAGAATTTTACCACTGAAGAAGTTCTGGGCTAAGGTCAGAGATGGGCATAATTGGGACCTGCTGAAACTGTCACTGTCTGAATCCCCTTGCCCTTACTTTTAGTTCCTTTTGCTGAAATCCAGGGGTGTCAAGTTGGCAGCCCTGATGGTGCAATTGAAAATCCAATTCAATATTAAATTGAAAAATTAAATGTGCAATTTAATGTGCTTCACCCATTTATCTTTCCTCTTCAAGCAGAGACAATGGTGAGCAAGTAAAACAGCAATTTTCATGGGCCTACATACTTGGGTAAACAAATTGGACCTAGAGGAAGATGACAACTGACTGGACAATGGAAACAGAAGAGAAAGTGAACTTACTTAGGAAAGACCCCACTGAATGCATTTAGCCCAAGCTTCAAGATGACATTCGTTCTTTGGATGAATGAGTTCCTCTTTTTCATTTCTCATAGAAATCCATGATGGGCTGAGATTTTGAGAATCCCCAATTTACTTCCATGATAAGAGTTTGTGTTTTGCATGATCAGGAAAACAGTGCTTTTATTAATTGCTTGCAGACAAGTTTATTGGTTGAAAAAGCCAGATAATTATATAACTTTGTTCCCCTTTTGATCCAAACGTACATACTACAGAATATCAACTAGACAAAAACATACACTACAACTACTTTTTCTGATATGTCTTGGAGTATGTAGGATCACTGGTCCTTTTCAGTAAGAACTCTGCTTGATTTGCTCACGCGAAGAAATTACTTTCCCATCTTCAAGCTCCTCAACAACCATGCGGACCTGGCGAGATGTTTTTGGCACTGCAAGAGAAAGAGGCATAAAGGGCATAATTTCCTTCAGATAAACTCAAGGGGGCACTTGCTGACAACACCTTGTAGAGAGAATTTCAGGACAAGAAATGACCAGAAATCTCAAGAAGCTTCTGTTGGGCCTTCAACCAATTAGGAGGTTGTTCTGAAAGGTCTCTTCTGCTCTCTATGCTTCTTATGTGAGGAGAACCAGAAAGTGTTACTGCTTCCAAATCCCTTTTTTTCTGGACTACCAATGCTTCTGACGTATAACTTGAAGGGAAAAAATAGACTTTCTATGTGGCAATTCCCCAACTGGGTACCCTCCAGATGTGTTGGGACTATAGCTCCCGGAATTCATAGCTGACCTCATCATGCTGGCAGAAAATTTTGGGAGCTGCAATGGCACTGGGTGTGGAGGACACTAAGTTGGGGAAGACTGTAATATTACAATGGAGTTCTTGGTAATAGAAAAGATTGGGAATGAGATAATACTATTACAGTCCTACACATGTTCACTCAGATATGTTTATTCCTTAAAAGGGATGTGTGAGATTGCATCTTATGGTTGAACACCCTTAAATACACTTAAGATCATGGGATATTAAAATTAGTAATATGCAACTCAAGATGGTGAACATTTGGCATTTTTTGTTTTCTTGAAATATCTTCTTCTGGCTTATTTAGCTAGCTACAGTATTAATTTTATACACGACCAGTATGTATGTGCTCAGCTACAGGAAGGATAGAGGGAATACACAAAAGAACCTATTTACCTACCTGCTTACTGTTTTTAGAAGGCTATTGGGGAATAATTTCATTTAAAAAATAAATATCAAGAGTTGGGTTTATCACTGATTCCCCATATTTCTTTTTACATTACAGTCCTCTATACATGTATGAGATGTAATCCTGGCCTCACTCTCTGGTAAGTGTGAACAGCAATGTTTCACAACCTGAAATTCTCCAGATGTGTTAGACCACAATTCCCATGAACCCTAATTAATATGACCTGTTGACTAAGGGAATTACAATCCAATACAATCTGGAGAGCAATAAGTTACAATGAGAGCTAGGGTACAATGAATTCATAGCTGTTTAACCGAGTTCCATTCTTACCTTCTCTGCCAGATGTAGCTGCATTGTACTGGGATGTGATGCTGTAAGAAACAAGATTCATGGGCCAATTAGAAACACTGATATTTTTTTCTACCACACAATGCAATAAGCTAATGAGGCAATAATATAAAATTCATCAACATGTCTTATTAAACATGAAAATAAGGTGGTCTACTAAATAAAATATTATTAGCTAATATTTTAATCAAATATTTAGTTATGTAAAGAAACTTTTGTCAACATGTAAAAATAATGACTCTTTATGATACCAAATGATGAATTTACTTATTATTTAAGAAAGAAGCTCAAGAATTCTGGAAGTTTACTTAGGAATGAAACAAATCTTAAAGATGAAATTCTTTTTTCTGCCTTTGTTTTACTGGTAAACATCATTAAATCTTATATTTCTATAAAGTATACAGAGTTAAATCTGTATATGATAACAGCTGCCACAAGACTTTATATCTCTTATTGGAAATCATGTATGATTCCCTCTTTAGAAGAAGAAACTGTGGGAGTATGTATCAATAGGAAAAATAAATTGGTATTTGACAAATAAGGAATTTACTTCACCATGGGAACCATTTATGGATTATAATTCTACATATTGGCTTCTATTGTATCCAAAGTTTGGGTTTCTCTTAACATGAAACTTTAATATTCACCCTTGCTTGACATTTTAAATAAGGATAGAACTTTTTAAATGAGACAAAGCTCTGATTAATTGTTTATTCTGACTTATGATTCTTATTGGATCAGCTACCTTTGTTAATCACTGATTTTTGAGCTCATTTTTAATAATGGTTTTGATCATTTTTTAAATAGGGCACTAATCTAATGTTGATTTAAAATTTTAGTCAATTTTATATAACCTGTAAATCTCTTTTTGATTTGCTTATTTCTTTTCTCCTTTGGAGGTGGGGGTGGTTTGTGCTTTTCAATATCTGTTATTTTAAATAAGGAAAAAGAAGAAGAAAGAAACTCTAGTTCCCATACATAGAAGGAAATTTCATGTCTCTGGTTTCTTGTTATTATGTATTCTATCATCAGACTAAAACCAGCAAAGTCTTTTAAAAAATCAGAAGTATTTCCCTGAAATCAGGGGAGAGGAGATGCTGTTTCAGTTTATGAACAGGATTCCAGAAAACACGTCCAGGCAAAGCGACAATCCAAAGTGGATGAGGATATGTTGGCATGTGACCCCACCACTCAAAGTACTTTGCCCAGCGATCCTACTTTACAGTATTCACACATGCACTCACTCAGCCATACCGATTGTAAAATCCTTCTCATCTTAAAAATAGCTACTGTTAGTCAAAGCATTCAAACTAGATATCAGATTGATTCTCACTTGTAAGTCTGAGCATTATTGTTCATAATGGGACAGATAGTACTTGACTGCAAATCCATCAAGCTACACTTCTAAGTCTCTATGTGAAAAAAAAATGCTAGAAACAGCAGGTGGAATAAGTGACATAGGAAGGACATGAGGAAGCCAAGCCTACAGTAGATGTGAGCTAAGAACATTGGGAAGGGGTATTGTTTCCTGCCTCTCCGTTCTGATGTGGGACTATGGATTTTGTTATTTGGGTATTTGCCAGCTTCTATGCTCAACCTGTATATGCATCCAGTGATTACTTCAAAGAAAACTAAGCACTCAGTAAATGCTTAGCACAAATGGAACTTCATATGCTTTGGGAATTTGGGAAGAAATAGTAACTAATTACGTTCCCATCTAAAAACCCTTCATTCCATATATGCCATTTTAGATCACTTCTCTTGCTTCCCCTCGCAACCCAACCATCCTTGTCAAACCCCACCCCACTCCACCCCATCCTCTTTAACATACTGGGCTTCCTCTCCCTCCAAGAGGCGACGGTAGGTGGCAATCTCCTGTTCCAGGCGTGTCTTGACATCAAGGAGGACCTTGTATTCATGGTTCTGGCGTTCCATGTCACATCTCAGGGCAGCCAACTCCTGCTCCACATTGGTGATCAGAGTCTGGATCTGAGCAAGCTGAGCACCATAGCGAGATTCTGTGTCTGCCAATGTGCCTTCCAGTGCTGCTTTCTGAGGAAAAAGAGCAGGAGGAATCTGAGTTGTGGTTCCAGAAATATTGGGTGCTATCATGAATAACATGAACTGTCTCAGCTACTAAGGAAATCCAAGTGTCTGGTTCACAAAAAGCAAGTCTAGTTTGAGTAAGCTTCCATGTTCTCCAGCTGGTGAACAGAAAATAAAGAATCCTAGACTAGACCAGGCAGAGGAAAGGCGTCCCTTCACTTGATCCCGAAGGCAGAGGTAAATCTGTCCTTTTACTTTTAATAGGACCAAGCTTAACCAGGACAGCTAAACATTTCTGGATTAGGTCCTATATTTCTCTTTCCTTTTAGGAACAGGTGTTTTGCTTTGCTTTGCTTTGCTTTGCTTTGTTTTGTTTGTTATTGAGAACATATTACCAAGAGGAGGTAGTCTGGATATTGTAAGCTGTGACACCTCTTCACCCACTCACTCCCATCACTGAAATAACCAAAATTACACCACAAATGATATATGTAAGGGGGAAATTCCATTAGACTTTAAGTGTTCCCATACCATGCTGAGTTGAGCCTGCAGTTCTATCTCCAAACTTTGAACAGTACGTCTCAGTTCTACAATCTCTGTCTTGCTCGTCTGCAGCTGTTCTGTATTGGTGGCAACTTCCCGATTTAGCTCTTCAGTCTACAAGAAAACAAAGAGAAGTCCTATTGTTTAAACACAATTTAGAGCACTAAGCATCTTCTAGGGCATACATGGCATGTGTTCTGTAAAGGCCCTTCTATTAAAGAAAAACACACCTTGCTGAAGAACCATTGCTCAGCATCTCTGCGGTTCTTCTCCGCCAAAGTCTCATATTGTTCGCGCATCTCTGTCAGGATCTTGGTGAGGTCCACTCCAGGAGCAGCATCCATTTCTACAGTGATTTCTCCACCAACTTGCTTTCGGTAAACATTCATTTCCTATGGGGGAGAAAATATTTATCATTCATATGTATTTCTGTACAAAACGTCATAAGAAGCTGTGCTATATAGATGACTTGTCTAACTTATATTGTCTTCTCCAGAAGTAGATCTTTACTGCATTTTTTAATGTCTATCTAATTTCTTGAGTCTAAGAATTTTTTACTTTGGTTCAGCAAAATGTACCAAAACCAGATTCAAAAAGAAAACTCACCAAAAAACAAAGAACAAGCAATGTACGGTTGCAGTGTTTTTAGAAAGTATAGCTCATTTGAGAAGCTCTTGCTTTTTAAGCAAAGAACATGAGACCTCCAAAGAGAGCTCTCATGCATGTCCTCACTTGTAAGCTTGGTACAAACACACCCCAGTGACCCTTTTGTATGTGTGCCACGTCTTCATGATGCCAACTTCATTTGATCTCCAGCTCAAACCAGAGGCAGCCTTAATTGTTGACTGTTCCAGTTTCACTGTAATGTTTTCCTTCTTATCCCAACACAATTTTTGCTGTGGATACAATCTGGCACAGTTCATCAACCTTTCTGCTCCTGACATGGCCGGGTAAATCCCAATGATTAGGTTCAAAGCAACTCCCATTGGCCATTTTAGGCCGGTGCAGGCAAACTAGACTCTTCTTCTGTGCCGCCATCAGCCCAAACGGCAGCTAACCAGGCATGGGCGGGGGGGAGGGGACTTCACAGTGAAGTGTGAGAGAATCGACTCTCTGTCTCTTTTTGGCACAACCCTTCCCACATCTGTCAGCTGCCATTTGAGCTGCTTTTGAAAGTGAGTTTAGTTATCGTCTAGAATAGCACTAAACCTATGACAGCCCTATTTGCTGGCATTATGCCTGTGGCGGAATAGGATCTGCCAGTGGGGGCAGCACATTACAGGCTGTAACAAAGATATTTAGGGCTTTTCTTCATAGCTGAGTTAAGGTGTTACCCCAGTCCCTGAGCCAACAGAAAACTATGCATGCCAGTACAGTTTTCTGTTG